CTGAGGTCTTTACACTGGTTCCTCACTGACACTAAGAAAGTGGATCAGTCCAGTTCTGAGGTCTTTACACTGGCCTCCTGTGTGTCAAAGAACTGATTTCAAAATACTGCTGCTGGTTTATTAAGCATTGAATGGTTTAGGCCCAAAACACATGTCTGATCTATACTGCTAAATGATGAACCATCCAGATCTCTCAGGTCTTCTGGTCTGCTTTAGTCAGAACTGAACATGGAGAGGTTCAGTTCTTATGCTCCAAATATCTGGAACAAACTCCCAGAAACCTGCAGGTCCGCTGCAACTCTGACTACTTTTAAATCCAGGCTGAAGACTTTTCTTTTTGCCGCTGCTTTTAATTGAACTATTCACATCTTAAACTGCACTGTAACTTTTATTCATGTACCTGTGTTATTCTATATTAGCTTGTTTTATGTTTACCATATCCTCCTTATTTTACTTTCTGCATATTCAAACAAACATAACATAATTTAATTAATATTTTTTGATTAATTATTAATTTTTTTTAATGACTTTGAATTGTTTAAATGAATATATATATTTTGTGCATTATTTCCTTATGTTCTATACAATGTAAGGATGTGTTTTCAATTTTATTTTATTTACCATTTGTTATATCTGTTAATATCTTTCTTACTTGTTTACTAGTTTACTTAATTTGTTTTAAATTACTTTTCGTTATGTTTGATATTCTTATTCAATGTTAGTATGAATTGAGCTTTTTCTGTACATTTTATTGTTTGTAAATCCTTATTTTTTATATATTTTTTTAAACATTAATGTTTTAAATGATCCATGTTTGACCGTCCTCTCTGCAGGATCGCGACCCACATGTTGAGAAACTGAGTTATTTTAATGTATTACTTTTACGGAATGATATTATTTCTAATCTGCAGAAATAAGAAACGTAATCTCACTAAATAATTTATTTTATTTTAATTACGTTGTTTTCTATTGTGTTATTGCAGCTGGTTTGATACCACAACCCCGCTGCTCCACCTTTCATCACATTATAGTAACACATCATTTATTAGACTATCATTTAGGTTATCAAAACATATATAAATAAATATAATGAATCAACACGGCTGAGAATTACACGAAAAATGACATTTTTGAACTGAATAGGTTATTATTTATTATAGACGCATTATTTGACAACGCTGGTTTTTTAGCTGCCAGGATTTGCATCCTTCTGTTATTTCAGTCAAGAAGAGTGTCTCATGAATTAAACTCACCCTGTCCTCTCAAAACAGGACAACATATCAGCTGGTAGAATATTTTAATCCTACGGTCTATTTTAAGGAACTTAATAGATGGATGCATTATTTGGCAACGCTGCTTTTCCACCTGCCAGGATTTGCATCCCCCCTGACATTTTGATTTCCGCAATGAACTTTTCCCGTGAGATCTTCCGGTTTATTATTTATTTAATTAAACATGACTCACCGTTTCTCTTTAAATTCGGATTTAAAACACAACTTCGATAAAAATAAGAAGAACATATCATTGTTTGTAGATTATTCAAGTGTTTTTGAGCTAAAGACGAGTTTAAAAACAAGTCAAAAATTGGTGATCATTTTGCGGTAAAATCTAAATAAGTTGTTTTATAGTCAAATATACTTCTATGTTTGTTTTAAACACAGGATATGGTTAAACACGCTGTTAAAACACATTCACTTTGTATAAAATATCGCGTATTTGATCATATTAAAGCCGGATTTTAATTACAATAAAAAGGCCTTAAAGTTCAAATCCACTGTGGTGTTAAAAACGAGATAAATATCGATTATCATTTTGTGGAAAACACCAAAATCAAGTTGTGTTTTGTTTTCTTACAGTCTGTAATGTTTGTTTTAAACACAGTTATTACCGCTGTTTAAGCAAATGAACCAACATTGTATCGAAATACGACCCGACGATTGAGCGCGATTCCTATCTATAAAACCTTTTAAACGCAAAAACCATCCCTTAGGTTATAAATTAACTATCTCCTTTCAAAGCAAGAAAGAATCCATTTCATTTAGATTAAATAGAGCAAAACAAGATCTTTGAATCATCAGAAACTTCGTCCTCTCCTCTGAAGTTCCCTCTCCTTGAATGGTGAGTTTCGAAAGAGACTTTCATTAAATTATATGAAATCAGCTTTTAATATGGGATAGAGGGTGAATTTATAAAGGATAAGTGACCATGTGAGGCAAAAGCTATAATGACTTTTAGTGTCCTCCAGTGACGGCATTTATCCAAGAGATCCACTTGCAATAATAACACACCTTAAACTGGCTAACTCATCCTATTGCGTTATGGTATTGATTCACTATTCCAAATAAAGTCGTTGTACGGTTACAGTTTACACATTTGCTCTTGATTCACCTGCCCAATTATAAATAGTGTCTTTAGGTCATTAATAATGCTTACGATGTCTACAATTAAGTTGGAAAATTGTGATTTGGAGGCGTGTGGTGCAGTGGGTTGTGCGTTGGTGTTCGGATCAGGGGGTCACAGGTTCAAACCCCACTGCAGTCAGCATGTCGTTGTGTCCCTGAGACGCTTCACCCTAAAGTGCTCCTGTGGGGGTTGCCCTCAGTATTGAGTCGCTTTGGATAAAAGCGTCTAACAAGTGACATGGAAAGTGATTTGAATCATAATCTTGAAAGTGTGGTGTTTACTTTCTCAGATGAACCGCATGCTGTAGCCTCTTTGTATGTGGGTCGCTCAGAACATTTGATCGTTTTGTTGTGTATTCATTTTCAATATTTCTGAACTCACCATTAATAACGTCTCATTGTGTATTTTAGGAAATGCCGGAGACTGTTTTGTTGTATTGGAAACCACGTTGTAATGGAATCAGTGTTGTTACAGTTTACACATTTGGTCTTGATTCACCCGCCCAATTATAAATAGTGTCTTTAAGTCATTAATAATGCTCACCATGTCTAACATGTAAGTTACCTTTTAGCTTCATTACGGAACACTCTGCTGCTTTTTAATGAGATGTTTTTAATATTTTAAGAGTCAGAGCTGCGAGTGTCCTGAGGGAAATACTACTACTACTACTAATAATTATTATTATTATTGAAATCCTTATATAAGATGATTTATAGTTTTAAAATGACTCACAGTGTGGAGGAGTGCACGTGGGGGCGAAACACGAAGAAAACAGGTAATAAATAATGTTTTAAAATTAGTATTGGTTATATTTTGTGAGGAAAAGCAAATCAAACTCTGAATATAATGAAAACACTGAACTGATATGTTCCAGAGAAACACTTGGTGCTGATGGCACATGGACCCAGAGAAACACTTGGTGCTGATGGCACATGGACCCAGAGAAACACTTGGTGCTGATGGCACATGGACCCAGAGAAACACTTGGTGCTGATGGCACATGGACCCAGAGAAACACTTGGTGCTGATGGCACATGGACCCAGAGAAACACTTGGTGCTGATGGCACATGGACCCAGAGAAACACTTGGTGCTGATGGCACATGGACCCAGAGAAACACTTGGTGCTGATGGCACATGGACCCAGAGAAACACTTGGTGCTGATGGCACATGGACCCAGAGAAACACTTGGTGCTGATGGCACATGGACCCAGAGAAACACTTGGTGCTGATGGCACATGGACCCAGAGAAACACTTGGTGCTGATGGCACATGGACTCATAACAGATCAATAAAACACCAATTATTATTATTATTATAACATCTGCAATACTTTCCCCTAACTCATTTAGATTATAACGATAGGTCTATTTATAATTATCAGATCATTTTCTCTGTAAGTTAATCACAAAAGGAAACGAAAATAAAAATAAAAATATATAAAAATATAATAATGCAGAAAATTAAGGAAAATTATAACAACAATAAAAATGAACATGGACAAACAATAGATTATGTATGTTTGGTGTTTCCTGATAATCAATACAAGAATAGCATAAATCACATTAACATTCAAACACAATGATTTAGAGAACTAATAAGATCATTACACGTTTAATGAGGATAATAAATATATATCTATCGTGTTTGATAATAACTATTTCAACACACACACACACACACACACACACACACACACACACACACACACACACACACACACACACACACACACACACACACACACACACACACACACACACACACACACACACACACACACACACACATACTGATTGTATCAAAAACTGCAAATAATATAAGCTAACTAGTTAGTTATTTAATCATACTAGTTATATATATATAATATAGTATAGTATAATTATAATATAAAAACACTAATTGCATTTAAGTTTATTATCTGATAACTATTACTATTATTATTACTATTATTATTACTATTATTATTATTATTATTATTATTATTGCAACACAAACTCACAGAAATACGCAGATTAAAGAAACGGTATTAAAAGATATCAGGAACCACGTGACTGACATTAAGCTGCTTCATTTCATTAAACAAAACACCAAATGGAAACACATTTAACCATCATAATGAAAACATCATAGGTGAAGAAGATGAAGAAGAACAAGAACTGAAAATAATAAAAGCAAATCACCACAAATCACCCCTGAATGCATGAACATAAATAAACCATTTTAAGATAATTAAAGCCCTAAAAGATAAGATAAGAAGCACTTAGTGATCCCAATGTGGGAAATGTTTGTGTTACAGCAGCATTAAAGACATGGCATTGTATAATACAAATTAAAAAGACTAGAAATAAACCAAAAAATTGGAAATATACATGTTGAATTTACAAATTAATAATAACAAAAACAAAAATATAAAGCAAGTATATAAGGTGATATCAAGGAAATGCAGAGGGCTCACCTTGGATGCGGAAATAATAAAAACGACTATTGCAAATCAAACTCCTAAAACACCACAATAAACCCCTGAATGCATGCACATACATAAATGCACATTTTTAAAATAATTCAAGCCCTTAAAGATAAGGAAGAGGGCTCACCTTGGAAGCGGTGGCCCAGGTACCGGCTCCGGAGCACCCAGGGGTAGAAGCCCAGCTCCCGGTGCTGCCCGGTGCCGAAGAAGCTCTGCGGAGGGATCTGCAGCGGGTGAAGAGGCAGTCCTCCCCCGGGACTCTGCGTGTGTGAGTCCGGGTGAAGAAGCCCCATGTCCGGCCCGGAGGATCCGTACAGGGAGGAAGAAGAAGTCCTCCCCGGGAAACAGGAGCCGAACACCCCGGGGTGCAGAGAGTCCGGGAAGCGGAGCGCGGTGGGTCGGATCGGTTCATCTCCTCCTCCTCCTCCTCCGCTCACCTCCTTCCCCACCAGGGACTCTATGGTGAAGCACTTCTTGGTGTTTCCGTGGTGGAACATTTTTAAAAGATGAAGATGTGAACAATTCTCAGATTCCCAGGTTCTCCATATCTCCTCCTGTGCGTAAAAACTAACCAAAACAAATCCTCAAGTTTCCCCACACCTGTGTGTCCGGGCGGCGTCTCTCTCTCTCTCTCTCTCTCTCTCTCTCTCTCTCTCTCTCTCTCTCTCTCTCTCTCTCTCTCTCTCTCTCTCTCTCTCTCTCTCTCTCTCTCTCTCTCTCTCTCTCTCTCTCTCTCTGTGTGTTTCTGTGGTGATAAAACCCCCCAAAACTTCCTCCAGAAGTCTCCGGTTGGTGTATCCGGGGATCCTGGGAGCTGCAGCCGGGTTTGAGGTGCAGGGCGGCGGGCAGCGGGGCTCTGATGTGTCGGTGTCTCCTCCTCACATGCTGCAGAGTGAAGCCGGAGTGTGTGTCTGTCTCTCGGCTCCGGGAGGGGGAGATACCTGCCCTGCCCTCCCTGCCGGAGGTGCGCCGGGCATGCGCAGAGGAGACCTCTCCAACAGCCATTTTGTGGAGGAGGAGGAGGAGGGAGTGATGATGAGTGACAGTAATGATGAGGATGAAGATGAAGAAAATGATAGAAAAGGATGATATTAATGAAGGTTGTCTGAATAAGAATATCCTTATATTTGAATATATACCTATCATTTTTTTAAATTATTATTATTAGTTTATATTATTATTATTATTATTATTATTTGTACTTTATTGTTTTTGAATTCTTATTTTTAAATTATGTTTAATATTTTAGTTTTCGTATTATGTATTATGTGTCCTGTTTAATTTAGTATTATTATTATATATTTATTGAAAATGTATTATTAGTGTTTAATATTTAATGTACTGTGTTTTTTTTTTAAATATAACAATATAATATTTTTATTTAATTATTTTAAAAAACAAATACTATGTCTTCATTAATTCATCTATTTATAATTTTCTTTGTTTTATTTACTTCTCATTTTGAAGTGTGTTTAAACGATGATAAAGCTTGAATACTACTAAAAATCATTTTGTAGTATGAACAGGAAAAGATGCCTTTAGCTCAGTGTCTGTGTGTGTGAGTGTGTGAGTGTGTGAGCATGTGTCTCCCCTGAGCGACAGGTCAATTGACACAGAACAAGACAATTGACCCCAGGGTCAAAGGTCAGAGGAAACCTCCCTCTGTTATCTGTTCTTCTCTCAGGGTGTGAGTCTCAGCTCTTGTTTCCTAAAGGCAGTAAACAAATCAAAACACCTGTCGGTCAAAAACACTTCAGTTTACTTTATTATTGATAATAACGTTGGGCTATAAAGGAACTACAGCACGGTCACATGACTTCACGTCACCACCGCTAAGCTAAAGGTGGCTAATGTTGGGCTATAAAGGAACTACAGCACGGTCACATGACTTCACGTCACCACCGCTAAGCTAAAGGTGGCTAATGTTGGGCTATAAAGGAACTACAGCACGGTCACATGACTTCACGTCACCACCGCTAAGCTAAAGGTGGCTAATGTTGGGCTATAAAGGAACTACAGCACGGTCACATGACTTCACGTCACCACCGCTAAGCTAAAGGAGGCTAATGTTGGGCTATAAAGGAACTACAGCACGGTCACATGACTTCACGTCACCACCGCTAAGCTAAAGGAGGCTAATGTTGGGCTATAAAGGAACTACAGCACGGTCACATGACTTCACGTCACCACCGCTAAGCTAAAGGTGGCTAATGTTGGGCTATAAAGGAACTACAGCACGGTCACATGACTTCACGTCACCACCGCTAAGCTAAAGGTGGCTAATGTTGGGCTATAAAGGAACTACAGCACGGTCACATGACTTCACGTCACCACCGCTAAGCTAAAGGTGGCTAATGTTGGGCTATAAAGGAACTACAGCACGGTCACATGACTTCACGTCACCACCGCTAAGCTAAAGGTGGCTAATGTTGGGCTATAAAGGAACTACAGCACGGTCACATGACTTCACGTCACCACCGCTAAGCTAAAGGTGGCTAATGTTGGGCTATAAAGGAACTACAGCACGGTCACATGACTTCACGTCACCACCGCTAAGCTAAAGGTGGCTAATGTTGGGCTCTAAAGGAACTACAGCACGGTCACATGACTTCACGTCACCACCGCTAAGCTAAAGGTGGCTAATGTTGGGCTATAAAGGAACTACAGCACGGTCACATGACTTCACGTCACCACCGCTAAGCTAAAGGTGGCTAATGTTGGGCTATAAAGGAACTACAGCACGGTCACATGACTTCACGTCACCACCGCTAAGCTAAAGGTGGCTAATGTTGGGCTATAAAGGAACTACAGCATGGTCACATGACTTCACGTCACCACCGCTAAGCTAAAGGTGGCTAATGTTGGGCTATAAAGGAACTAGAGCACGGTCACATGACTTCACGTCACCACCGCTAAGCTAAAGGAGGCTAATGTTGGGCTATAAAGGAACTAGAGCACGGTCACATGACTTCACGTCACCACCGCTAAGCTAAAGGAGGCTAATGTTGGGCTATAAAGGAACTACAGCACGGTCACATGACTTCACGTCACCACCGCTAAGCTAAGGAGGCTAATGTTGGGCTATAAAGGAACTACAGCACGGTCACATGACTTCACGTCACCACCGCTAAGCTAAAGGAGGCTAATGTTGGGCTATAAAGGAACTACAGCACGGTCACATGACTTCACGTCACCACCGCTAAGCTAAAGGTGGCTAATGTTGGGCTATAAAGGAACTACAGCACGGTCACATGACTTCACGTCACCACCGCTAAGCTAAAGGCGGCTAATGTTGGGCTATAAAGGAACTACAGCACGGTCACATGACTTCACGTCACCACCGCTAAGCTAAAGGAGGCTAATGTTGGGCGTGATAACGTTTAGTCGTCTCATTTAGGCACTCGTTAGCAACCGCCATTTTAAAATTCACCAGTTGGGTATTTATTGACATATTTGATGTCGTAGAATACAAATATTTCCAGCTTGTGTAAACAGCAGACCTTATATCAGGATTACAACCTTCGAGACTAGGGAACAGGAAGTGCTAAAATGCCTACTGGGTTTTAGGACTCATTCCTGCACCACTCTGTCGGCCCTGAAGTGAATTCCCACCTGCTGCATGACACAAGCTCATATTTACTTTTCATCGTTAGAATGAAGTCACTCTGACGTCACGCTCGGCCTTCCTGTGCAGCTTTTGGACCTGTAGGACAAATGGCAGCTCATTGAGGGGCCTCTAATTGTGGCCCCGGGACTCAGCACAAAGCCCCCCCGCCTCCCCCCACAATGGACTGCCCTGCGGAGGCCCGTGTGAACCGATGAGCCCCATCCTGCCCCCCCCTCATGTTAATTAATAGGCCTTGCTGGCAGAGTTGGACCCCGCTCAGCTTTGATTGAAGGCGGCCATTAGCATCTATTAATTTAGCCTCTGGCGTTTTATCCGCCGGCCTGAAAGAGGGAATTAAGTGGTGTGAGTTTTGGTGAGGGGTGTGAGGCTGAGTTAAAATGTGATTATTGCCCCGAGCCAGCTAACTGCGGCTAAGCCCTCTTGAAAGTGAAGGGGCGACTCCTCTCATTAGCGCCCAACAAGGGAAAGATATTAACAGGAAATAGCTGCAAATTTTACCTTTTTTTCCCCCAACAACTTCCCTTTATGTGAAAAGGGCACTTAAAAATGTGAAAGAGGGGAAAGTGGAGCGTGACGGCCACAGCGATGATACTGTAGTGCAGAAGATCAACTCGTATGATTTGTTTTTGTTTCTTAGAAAGAGATGTGGATTGTATTGAGGCGAGGAGGCTGCATTGTTTTGAGGGTTCTGACACGACAGAAACAAAGCAGAAATAACTTCAAGTTTTAGCATTTCTCAAACTTATGAACCCACTTTGAAATATTCGCATTCAGAAAATACTACGGTGGCCGACAGGTGCATCGTGCTACAACAGCTCAAGATATTTCCATTAGGAGAAATTGGCTGCAGCTTCAGAAAGGATGCAAATGTACCAAAACACAAGCAGATGAAAAAACCTCTCCGTCAACTTGACAACACGTTTACTGAAAGTTATGCAGAGACTAAATGCTGCAAATAAAAGCGCTGCAAGAGCAATGGAAACGTGGACACTAAAAAGTGATGCTGGGACCAGAGCGCTTGTTGACGTTCATTTATTATATCGCTGGCCAACTGCCTGAACATGTACCTGGAATATAAGTTGTATCGTCTTATTTGAACAAGATGATCGTATGATTACTTCTATCACAAATGACTAATGGACACACGAGAACAAGGAGTTGCAAAATGATTAAACATCTCCATCATCTTTCTAGTAGGGCGGCAATTGTTCGGCGTCTTTAGACACTTGTTAGCACTTCTAAAATTCACCTGTGGGGTTTTTACTGACGCGTTTGTTCTCGTATAACAAACCGTGAATATAACAACCAAAAACATGTTCAAAGAACCATTGACTTTGAGAAGGGAATAGGTAGGAAGTCGTAAAAGGCCAATTCACCTAAGACTCATTCCTGCACCACTCTAGATTTTAGGACTCATTCCTGCACCACTCTAGATTTTAGGACTCATTCCTGCACCACTCCAGATTTTAGGACTCATTCCTGCACCACTCTAGATTTTAGGACTCATTCCTGCACCACTCCAGATTTTAGGACTCATTCCTGCACCACTCCAGATTGTAGGACTCATTCCTGCACCACTCTAGATTTTAGGACTCATTCCTGCACCACTCTAGATTTTAGGACTCATTCCTGCACCACTCGAGTTGAGCCTGACATTTGATTGACAGTTCTTTATCTCTCTCTTTAGAAACCGCCTCTGCTCCCTCTCAGCTTCAGGTGTGTCCAGGTGGCTGTGAAGTGCCATGGGAACACTGTGACATGACAGCAGAGGCTGTGACCCATGGCTAACACACACACACACACACCACGCACGCACGCACGCTCACACACACACACACGCACACCACGCACGCACGCACGCACGCTCACACACACACACACACACACACATGCACACCACGCACGCACGCACGCACGCTCAC